CTACTAAACACACAAGCACATAAGCACAAACGACGGAATTCACTTGGCAATGTTGACTATGCACTGCGCCCTTCACTCGACCTACTTTCTTTCCTTTCGACATATACCATCTGTCAGCGCCTAGGGCACGGCGAAATACCATAACAGCGATCCCGGGAGTAGGTTCGGCACCAATACCACATGACACCTGCCTTCCAAGCCCGAGACGATGATGTTTGGAACATCCACCGTTGCCCCATCGCATTTCCCAGGCCGCCACCACCAAGACTCTGTGTGAGCCTCCGTGTCAAAAGAAATGGATGACAACGGCCGTGTTAATGCACACAAGAGATGTTGACGTAACTACATAAAAAACCAAGTACACAAGGCGCTCACATACCGCAGCCGTCGATAGAGCCATTGCTTGATCAATGGCAACAATGAGATTTGCACGCATGATTCATGCCCACAGGTTCGAGAACACAGGACGTAAAATTGTGTGCATTTCGAGCAATCCACCATAAGGCGAACAAGGGCACTAGACGCGTTCCGCCCAGACGGAGGTGGTCTTGGCTTCATCTGTACCGTTGACAACTCCTCCATGGCCCATAGACAGTCCAAACGGTGGGCTACGACTCGTACCAGCGCTAGATGGCTGTTACCCGCAATGGCATTTGGATTAGCCGCCTCGTCCCTGTTGTCTTTTCTAGGCATACAAGCGGAGTAGCCAATAATTTCCAAGCGACATGACTGATCTCTGGACCCGCGCGCTTGTGTAGGAAGAGAACTGGATAGTATAAGAAGTACCTATCCACCCCAGAGATCAAAGGGCACGCTTGACGCTCAACATTCATTCTCTCTACATATTCGGTTCCGTCTTTGACTTATTCGTTCATTTCGACTTCTGCTTCGAATAGCCACTCTTTCACAAGACAGGTTCTACACTCGACCAGTTCATATCCTCATTCAAAATGAAGTCCTTCATCTCTGCTCTCGCTTTCGCCGGCGCTGCCAGCGCCCACTGCACCATCTGGGGTGTTTCCGTCGGCGGCAAAGACCTTGGCTACGGCAACTCTCAGGGTGGATACATTGACACTCCCCCCAACAACTCTCCCGTCACCGATGTTACGTCCAAGGCAATGGAGTGCAATGTAGCCAACATCAAGGCGGCCAAGTCCATCTCTATCAACCCTGGTGATGAAGTCGCTGTAAGCATTTGTGTGCCACAGTTTCGGATTGAAGACGTGCTAACAGTGACCAGGTCCAATGGTTCCACAACGGACCCGGAGCCGGCGACCAAATCATTGATGGATCTCACAAGGGACCAATCAGCGTCTACATGTCGAAGGCTGGCTCTTCTATGTCGTGGACCAAGATTGCCGAGGATGGATATGACGGCAAGTCGTGGGCTGTCACCAAGCTCCGCGATGGTGCGTACAACGGAAAGAAGGGACAGCACACCTTCAAGATGCCCGCCGTTGCTCCCGGAGACTACGTCATCCGTCCCGAGATTATTGCTCTCCACGAGGGCAACAGGGCTTCCGGCGCCCAGTTCTACATGGGATGTGTAAGTTGCCTAGTTGCATGACAGGCTTAGTAACAGACGCTGACTTGAGATTGCAGATTCATGTCAAGGTTGGCGGATCCGCCAGCGGCGCTCTTCCTGCCGGTGTCTCGATCCCAGGCTACGTCACTGCTACTACCCCTGGTGTCTTGTTCAACATCTACAACTCATTCTCGAGCTACCCTATCCCTGGTCCTAAGGTCTGGAACGGTGCCGGTACTGCTACCGCCGCTGATGCTGCTCCCGCTGCCTCTCCTGCTGCTCCCGCTGCCTCTCCATCTTCCGCTCCTGCTGCCGGCGCTCCCTCTACTGAGGCTCCCTCTACTGAGGCTCCTTCTGGTGAGGCTCCCGCTGCTGAGGAACCCGAGGAGTGCACTGACGATACTACAGAGCCTGCCGAGGAACCTGCTGCTCCCGCCCCTGCTGCTCCCGCTGCCTCTGCTCCTGCTGCTGCTCCCGCTACCGGTGGTGCTGAGGCTCAGAAGTGGCACCAGTGCGGTGGTCAGGGCTACACGGGCGCAACTGCCTGCGTCTCGGGCACTACATGCACCAAGCAAAACGACTACTACCACCAATGTATCTAGATTGGCATGGCTGATGACTATGCTGGGGGAGTCCAGAGGGACGGGTAGTATCGGTGGGCGATATTTGTGGAGAAGTTTGGCTTGTAGAAGTTTGTGACTATTTGCTGGTGTCAAGTGGGCTCGGCCGCGTAGGGCCGGGCTTGCGCACCGCTGGTTTTCGATTCTAATGTACATACGTAAATTCCACGACGAATTGGACAAAAATGCCTCTTCGGTTCAATGCCTGTGCCCTTTTTTGACATGGACCTCATCATCTTAGTGTACCCACCTCTGCTGTGTAAGGACCAAGACGCTCGTCACTGGCCAGGGGGCTACGTGTCTAGAAGCCCCAGGTGCCACGCGTGAAGAGCTACGTCTCAGATCTAAGCTGACCGGCCAACTCGGCAATTCCATGAGGGGCATCGGGAGCGAGAGTGAGTGTGAGGCCGTGTTACAAGGCCGTGTTTACAGGCTGTGGGTGCAACAAGAAGCGTAGCATAAGCACATCTCGGGCGGAGGCCGTTGCCGGTGTTAGGAATGGATGGAGAGCAGTCTAGACCCGACTGGGGCATGAGTGGATGCGATGGCGTGCGCGTGACTAAGCCGAGGTTATCCGCGCGCCCCCGGCGTGCGTCCCCAACATTTGTTGCGCCGACTCTCGGGGATGCGTCCATCCAGCCTTACACCCACACATGCATCCATACGTACCTGACAGCTCATAATACCCCCCAACAGCCACAGCACATCATGTTTTCCACTCGCTCATAACTCGCTTCTTTTGCTTCCGTCCGCTCGAAACCACACACCTTCTGCCATCACTGCCATCATGGTAGCCCCTTCTTGCGCCTGGGTCCGCGTCGGACTGAGGCGCATCCCTAATGCTCCTTCTCGCAACACGACAAACACATCCAACTTCGAACGCGCCCGTCTACGAATTCATCTGTCCAACACCTCTCGCCGCTACAATAGCACCGGCCCAGACGGACCCCAGGGTGCTGCTACGACTGCGCGAACCATTCCCGGGCCCAGCTGGCTGTGGCTCGATCCCATTGTCGAACCCTTTCGCGCATACGGTCGCGTGCAGCAACGGAGGCCGTACATGACCCAATTGGTGTCTTCACTCATCATCTACTTCATCGGCGACTGCGTAGCCCAGAGCATCACCCAGCCTGAGCCTTCCACCCAACAGGAGCCAGTCGACGAGGCCGACGAGAAGGGCTGGGTACAGCAATGGAGCGACGACCGTGACTGGAGCCGCACCATGCGAGCCCTTTGCATTGGAGGACTGAGCGCCATCCCATCATACAGATGGTTTCTGTGGTTGTCCAACAGCTTCAACTACCGCTCCAAGACGCTCTCTCTCACTATCAAAGTACGTTGCCGTCTCTTCCGACATCTTCCGAGAGCACATGCGCCTACAAACAATACTAACAACACACGCAGGTCTTCATCAACCAAGCCTTCTTCACCCCCCTCTTCAACTCCTACTTCTTCGGCATGCAAACCCTCCTCTCCGGCGGCACCTTCCCCGAAATCATGGAGCGCATCCGCAACACAGTGCCCACCAGCTGGTGGAATAGCTGCAAAATCTGGCCCGCGGTTACGGCCTTTAGCTTCACATATGTGCCCATCCAATACCGCAGCATCTTCGGCGGTGTCGTGGCAATCGGCTGGCAAACGTATCTCAACCTGCTCAACCAGCAGGCTGCTGCCGTAGAGGAATTGGAGCGTGCGGCCGCCGGCAGCCACGTTGCACCACTCAATGTCCGCGCTGTGCAAGCTCATGCAGAACATGGCCAGGTCATGCAGAAATGCGTTGCTTAGACGTCATATGCTTTTTTTGGTCATACGAATTGGCATCTTCCGATGAAAAAAAAACACGCACGCTACCTGTTGCCGTGTTCGGAACTTCCATTCCTCCTCCCTTCTTTTTTTTCTCGCGATCGAGGCCACTACTAGGCTCTCTTTCGCTTCCATTCATTAACCTTTTTGGCTAATTCGTTCCGCATCGGCTAGCCCTACAACTTTATTTTTCGCTTTTTCTTCTTCTTTTGTTTTGCCAAAGACCCCATGGGAAGATGTATTCTTTCCGGAACCCGGGGGGAGGGGGGTTAGGAAGGAGGGGTTAAACTCCGCCCTCCCGACTTTTTTTTTCTCTTACTGTTTTTTGCATGATAGACGGGCGTATTTTTGATGTTTTTTTGCACTCGCATTTGCATTTGATACCACGAGCGCCTCAGTCAAACTAGAAATGCGCCGATAACTTTTAGAAGTTTTTACAAACACTTTGTATACAATTTACCTGAAATTCATTACATATCCTTTGGAACTTTTCTTCATGAATTACACTTGGTCAAAGTTGAACTTTTTCTTTTCTTTTCTTCGTTTTTGCTTTGATCTACCGATGCTTCTTCTTGCTTTTTTTTAGGCTTGTTTGCTAAAAGAAGTTTATTTTAGCTGGCTGGGGTGAACGCCTCCGGCTCGGGATATACCGTATGCGTACTTCGGGAGCCCCCCTCCCTCCCCCTCCTTTCCCCCCCAAGAACTAACGAACAAGAGTTTATTGACTTTACATTTGGCGGTGGAGGATGGGGCCAAGTAGACTAGGCTGCTGGGAAGCGAGACGTCATTTCCACACTTGTGTTGAGTCGGCTTCGAGGCGATGTGTGCAGTTTGTGCATAAGGTGATGTGCTGTGCTGGACTATGCTGGACTACCACGGTTTGGCCGTTTCCCTGGGTGACGCTGGCTACACCATCGGGAGGGGTTGGAAATGCTGGGGTTTGATAGTTCCCTGCGACTCCATTCTTCTGGGCTGCGCACTGTACTGTGCTTTGATGACTGGGGATCACGGAACTGTCGCGTGCTTGCTCCGGACTCCGACCCATCTCATTCTTCTTCTTCTTGCATAATAGCCTCGCACTGCTCCCTAAGCTCTTGCACACCATCCACCCCCTTCCACTTGTCCAGTATCGCACTAACCTCCTCCCACTCCTTTTCCGCCTCCTCCTCGCGCTCCTGATCAACCAGTATCTGCAGCCGTCTTGGCGTGTCGAGCACCCACTTTACAGTTTCCTTCTGCTTCCGCTTCTTGTCTGCCTCTGCCCCGTCTTGTTCTCCTCGCATACTGATTCCCAATCCTTCTTGTTTCGGCTGGTGGCTTTCGTGCAACGACGACGATAGTGCCGCTGCTGTCTCGGCAATATGCGATATGGCAGGTCCAAGCGTATGCGTGGTAGGCGCGAGGGGATCCATGTTGCCGCGCATGCGACGGATGGTGCTGGTAGCAGAAAGTAGTTTGGAGTAGTTGTCGTAGACGAGGGATTTGCGGTCGCTGTCCAGATTTCGGATTTCTATTCTCGTGGTTAGCTGTCCGTTCTTTCTTTCGCCCTATGCTTTTGTTGGACCAACGTACGTGATATCAAGTCTGCTTCTACTTTCAACACGCCCTTGAGCCCCTCTCGTGCAAGCAGACTCTCCACGTAGGCTTCGGCGTTGAAGTCCGAAGCGTCCAGCTCCGTCAGTGTCTCGTCTTCCTCGGGTCCCAATGGGTTTGTCGTCGTTTCCTCGGATATCCTGACATCGGCGCTTACGTCTTTGGGTGCGGGTTTGAGGCCATAGAATTCGCGCAGGGCGGCGCGGTTGCGGCGGGCGGGCTGCGGGGGTGGCCGGTGCGACGAGCTGCTGTCGATGGATGTGCGGGTTAATGAGGGGGTGCGGACGGACGAGCTGGGGCGGGGAGAGGCTATTGTCGACATATTGTTATATGTGCTGTGGGATTTGGGGGTTTAGGAGAGTTTAAAGAGTGTACGTTGAAGCTTCATGTCAAGGGCCGAGGAGAGCCCCACGTCATTCTACGCGTCGCGTCGGCTACATAGTACTGCAACTGTTTCATACATGACTTTTGCATAAAACTCACAAACGTACAAAACCCCAATCATGACGACTAAAACTGCGGCTGAATTAACACAGCATCTCAATGCCCGCCATCTCCATCCTACAGTGGCATGGTTCGAGAGTTTTCTGTCTACCACCCGGCCGAATACACCATTGCCCGCATTAAAGCAGACATTACTTTTCCGCCTACTGGCAACCGATATCACAAAGTCACTAAGCCAGCCGCCCAGCTCTGTGTTTCCTAGCGATATACTCAATGGAAATACACAATCCCGCATCATCTCTGGCCCCGTCATCTGCCAGGTGCTTGATATTGAGGATATCGGACACTCGCGCTGGTCCCAAGTCGAAGCCATCGAAGCAAAAGAGCGGGGCGAGACGACCAAAGGAAGAGAAATCGTGCGCGTAGTCGAGCAAGACAACGAAGCTACTGCCGAGGCTGCGGCGCCTACGCAGAGTAAAGGTCCCTTCAAGCTTCTCCTTCAGGATGCCAAAGCCCTCAAGATCTATGCCATGGATCTAAGAGGCATCGATGGCCTCCACACAAACATGGCCATGGGTACGAAACTTGTTTTGAAGGACTTTGATGTAAGAAGAGGAGTGATTATGCTTGAACCAGGCAATGTTCAGGTTCTGGGTGGGAAAATTGAGGCGCTCGACAAGGCCTGGAAGGAGGGGAGGAAGGAGCGGCTCAAGGCTGCTGCCAATTCGCTAGCACAAGCCGCGGGGTGACAAGGCTATAAAACCACAGCCTGCTCTTCCGACAACCACCCCGGCTTCTCTTTAGGATTAACTATCAGAAATGTTTTGCGAAACCTGTATCGGCGTTCTCCAGCACCGTCGGCGTGTCATTAGCTCCGCAATAACCCAAGATGAGCTGCATGATTGCGGCAAAACTGTACCATTTTTCGAGGTATGTTAACAAATCATAAATTGTCAACATGGGTTTTTCTGACAATCTCGCAATCAGTGTGCTCATCATTTGACATGGGAATCGTTTGTTGTGTCGGCAGCGAATGGGTGTCCTGTTTGCCGACCAACTTTCAACAACTTGTCGGATTCTGAACGAGAATCATTGCGTAATTCTGGATCTAATGAGAAAGGAAATACTACTGGTGATGCTCTGTATCCAGAGTTCATCACTTCTGCGCAGTTGATATTTAGTTATTCGGGAGCGATCTGCTTGATTATCCATGTCCACAGGGAACAGCTCTCCGAGCTTTCACGCCGGACAGGCACATTCATACTAGAAAAGGATGATGGTTTGTTTCTCTTCCACAAATATAGTGCATACGCTGATCAGGCAGCAGGCGAATCGGAGTGTGATGCTTACGCAGAGAGCGACGTCACTGCTGACCATACCTCGTCTACCTCATCTTTTGAGCTGGCTTCCATGTGGCTGCGAGACTGTGTTCAATCACACCCGCAATGCAATTCTCACAAAGATGGCACACTATGGTATCCCACGCGTCTTTTGCATCTAGTTGAGTCTGGTGGAAAGGAGGGCTATGTGCGGCTCATACGCACAGCGGAGACGTCACCCAACGAACATTACGCTACTCTGAGTCACCGCTGGGGCAATACAAGACCTCTTCAACTTACAAAGTCAGCGGCGTCCGATCCAAATCACCGCTTTTTGGTGGCTGATATGCCCAAAACGTTCCAGGAGGCCATCCAAGTATCCAAAAGACTTGGGATTCAATACCTGTGGGTAGATTCCTTATGCATCATTCAAGAGGGAGACAATCTTCGCGATTGGTATCAGGAAGCAGGTCTAATGGACAAGGTATACATGCATTCCTACCTCAACATTGCTGCAGCAGATGCAGAAGACGGCACAAAAGGACTGTTCCGACAACGTCCTCCATTACCTCTAGGTCGTCAGCGTGTTGCAGTCAATACAAAAGATATAAAGCCATGGCCAGATTGCGCTAACTATTTTCTAATGACGGACTTTATGCTCTGGTCACACAGCCTGGACAACTCTCCTCTTCATAACCGTGGCTGGGTTTTTCAAGAACGCTTCCTGGCCCCGCGCAATCTTCATTTCTTCCGTGATCAGCTTTTCTTCGAATGCAACGAACGCATCGTATGCGAGACATTCCCCAAAGAGCTCCCTAATCTTAGTACGCATCTTACGGCTGTTTCCCTAAAGACCAAGCTTTGGACACAAGCAGACCTTTCTGTGTTACCCGATAGATATAGGGAGGACTTGAGAAACTTTTGGTATAGTGAGGTTGTTTCACTATATTCTCCTATGGACTTGTCTGTTTCAACAGATAAGTTGATAGCCCTTTCTGGTATAGCCAAGATCTTTATGGCTCGTCTTGAAGATACATACGTAGCGGGTATGTGGCGTAGTCAGTTGGAAGACTCGCTACTGTGGCATGTTGAACTTCAGAACTTATGGCCTCGTCCATTAGTTTATCGATCACCAACTTGGTCTTGGGTGTCAGTGGATGGACGCATACGGCCAAACCTGTATTGGACGGATCGACGACTACTCATACATGTGGAGGATGTTGTACTATCCTATGCAGCCGAGGATACTACGGGCGCAATCACCGGAGGTTGGGTAGACCTACGCGGGATTCTCAAACCAGTGAGGTTATGTAAACCCAGAGTGTCTCGGAACTCGTGGTCTATCGCCTTTGATTGCAAAGCTATCTCTGAACAGCATGAGATCACTGAAGAGCATTTCTCCTCAATGATGTGTTTCTGGCCCGATACTATGCAGAGCACTGATTGGGTTGAAGATAACGCACAAAAGAGTCTATTCATTATGCCCTGTATTTTAGAAGGCAGACCAGAAAGCGTCTATGGTCTTTTGATCAGACTTGTGGACAAGGAAAAGACTTTGTTCGAGAGAATTGGGTTGTTCGCGACTAATACGCTTGGTGGGAACAGGACAGTATTGGAAGACTTGAGCGAAGACACAAAGGCTCGCCTACCGTGTCTACGCTATGAAAATGGGCAGCATACCATCCGAATCATCTAGACTCATACGAAACCTTGGTCTTGTTCCGATCGACATGCCCATTTGGTCAACAACGCTAGTTCTCAGGGTCTCTTTCCAGATCGAGCTAGAGCAACGTTGACAAGCGCTTGGCCCAAGATGGGGCCGTTGTTCAGGGTTCAAAAATCTGGATCTTAGCCACTGTTATGCGGGTTAAGCGGGGCGAGATGCTTCTGCCAACCACTCAAGTCAAGTTGGCTCCCAAGCATCTCATCATACGAACACGCATCAGCCACCAAACGCCCAGACGCTCAGTCAGCCGGTGACGTAGCGCCACCTTGTTTGTATATCATCGCACCTTTGTCCCCCACTACAGATGCAAGTTTGCTACGTCAGATTTACATGTTTAGACTATTGTTGTCGGTCGACTGCCTTTAACCAATCACAATAATCATGGCTACTACAGACCAGAGCGCACAGTTCAGAGGTATGTCTTTCTGTTTCGTACCACCCTTGCTATTGTATTCAAGGGCCTCGCCAGAAGAAGAAATCATAGGTGATTGGTAATGAGGCCGTAGCATGCTAACACATTGCAGAGCCACCAGTCGGAGCTCTTCCTGAAGCCACTAGTACCTTTTCATCCCAATCCGACGTCAGTGCTCAATTTCGAGGTTCGTGACCCTTGTCAATCACCTTCAACTCCAGTGCGCTTTCATCGACGCTGTCGCTTCTCAATACAGCCTTGGACCGTTTGCTTATGCATAGCTGTAGAGCCAGTCACGTCTTACTCATCCACCGACTCGACCACGACAAATGATTCGATCAACGATGGCCATGCAAACCATAAACCCGTAGGCGAAAAGATCAAGAACGTATTGAAGAAACCTTTTTCGTCGTCGTCGTCATCGTCGACATCAGACAGTTCAAACAAGCTTGGGGAGAGGGAGATTACGTCTCCTGAGATGGAGGCTGCAAAAGAAGTGCTTACAGCCAAGGACTTGAGGTCGCCGTAGTATTGGGTGGGGGTGAACAACAACAGACGAGATGCACAATTTTTGTGGATGCAGGTACATACATGTGGGTTCAGCTGCGGGGTGCCACGATGGTTTTTTTTCTACTTTCTTTTCTTTCCTCTTTTTCAATAGCGTGGTACCAATCAGGAAGCAAATCAATCGTATCATTTTCTGGGCTGATGTGCTGTGAAAAGCAAAAACTGCACTGACTCCTGTGGCGGTCTTGGTTAGTTTTTTTTTAGGTAAAGTCTAATTTGAACTACTACCATCCTTTCAGCTGACAGGCATATTTTTTTCACATGTAAAATGCACCGTCTCTGCAGTGATGAATGAGTACACATATAGAGATAGAAATGACCATGAACAATATAGTGCAATGAAGACTAGAGTGATGAAGAAGTAAGAGAAAAAAAATATATAATAAGATAAATAAATACATAAAAAAAAAGAGCCATCATTCACATAACAGCAAAACAGGCCTTCGCCCGCCTCGAAATTCCCTACAAAGAGAGTTCTAGATCAAACTAATAAAGATGTTCGTGACCACTCTCACTCCCTTCCCGTTACAAACCAGCAATCTTACGAAATAACCGTCTGGTTAAGATACAAATCGCAGGTATGGGGATTCTGCAAGCAATACTTTGGCATGAGAATGGTAGCCTGAACGCCATTGGCAACGAGATACTCTCTAAAGTTGAGGATGCGCTGGGTGAGCTCGGTCGTCCTCTTGTTGCCATCCTTGTCCCTGTTGCCGGACCAGACGAGTTCGGCGAGGGCGGCAGCACGGGGCCAGATTTTCTGGGAGATGACGACGGAGTCGACTTGCTCGCCGAACAAGGGCGCAATGGCGCCTTGGACGAGGGATTTTTGGGTGGCGGAGAGGCCCTGGGTGAAGTCGTAGTCGTAGATGCGCTGCCAGGTTTTGTAAGGGGCGCACCAGGAGCCGCCGTTGCCGCCCCAGTTGAAGTTTGCGGCGCCGTCGGCGGCGTTGGGGTTGACCATGACGTTGTAGCGGGGGTCGTTGCTGACGTAGCCGCCGTAGCCGCAGTCGAGGTACATGAAGTCGGAGCTGGAGACGATGACGCGGTAGCCTTGGGAGGTGAGGTTGGAGATGTGGCCGAGGCCGTTGTTCCAGGCTTGCAGGATGATGTCCTTGGGGACGTTGCCGGTGGCGGCGACAGAGGCCGAGATCTTGACGTCTTCCCACATGATGAAGGTTTTGTTGACCTGCGAGCGGAAGTTGGGCAAGGCGCGGTCGACCCAGACTTGGTAGAGGTCGCCCATTGTTTTGCCCGTGGCAAAGAAGTCGCGGGCTAGAGAGGAGAAGTTGTTGCAGTTCATGAAGAGCTCGTCACCGCCAATGTGGAACCAGTTGTCCGGGAAGATGGTGGCGAGTTCCTTGTACACCTTGCCGGTGACCTCGTATGTCTTGTTGTTGAGAATGTCGAGCTGGCCTGGGTTGGGCTGCACGGCGGTGTGGAGCGGCCAGTCGTCGTTGGACCACCAGCTGTCCTCACAGGTTAGGATTTCCTTGTCGATTTCCTCCCAGCCGGAGCTGGCATGGCCTGGCATGTCGATTTCTGGGATGACGCGCACACCGCGGGCACCGGCGTACTCGACGATTTCCTTGAGAACGGTTTGGGAGTAGACCTCGTTGGCTGAGTAGGCATCCTTTGTCATATCCGGGTACGACTTGATCTCAATGGGCCATGACTGCGTGTCGACCATGTGCCAGTGAAGGACGTTGAGCTTGGAAAGTGCCATTCCGTCAATCTGCTCGAGGATCTTGGCCTTGGAGATGTAGTTGCGGCCAGAGTCGATCATGATACCGCGGACAGGGTAGAGGGGCTTGTCGTCAATGGAGACGGGCTGTTCAATAATCAACTTGCCTGAGCCGTCGTTGATGACGATTTGCTGCATGGTGGTCAGGGCGTGAAGGGCACCATAGACGGTTCCAGCAGAGATGTGGACGCTGCTTGATCCAGCAGCAAGCTCAAGCTTGTACGATTCGTCGACGCCATGTTGAAGCTGAGCACTGGTGTCGGCAATGTCGACCTTGACTGTGCTGATAGTGCCCGTGCAGTTTCCAGCAGAGACAGTAGTAGAAGTATTCCTCCTCCTCCTCTTCTTCTTGGACCCACTCTTTGGGAAAGGTTCAAACTCCCTGACTGGGGCCTCGATACCCGCAGGGATCCACTTGAGGTCGGTGACGGTCTTTGTCATTCGGCTGAATGCATCAGAAAGCACCTTGTTGTCGGGGCCATCCAGAGTGATTGATCCGACGGCAAAGCATCCTGAGTCGCCCCAGGTAATGCTGGCAGGCTTGGGAAGAGGGTTGACAGCAACAGCTCCAGTTCGTCGGGCGAACAAGGCTGAGGCCGTCAGGACTGAGGCCAGGGTGAGGTCGCGCATTGTTGTAGTTGTTGTTGTTATTATTGACAATACGGCGTAGGAGAAAAGGGGACTACGCTGAAGGACCAAGTACACAGCAACGAAGTGAGGCCAGGAATCCAGACACTTCGTCCACGAGTAATGAACAAACAAACAAAAAAGGAACGAATGTGCACAGCCGCGGGATTGTTATATACCACGGTGGAGAGGTGGAGAGGAAGGGGCACTATTTCAATGTCCGTGGCATTGACTAGAGCCAGCCTTTCACGGCGCGCAGCTGGGGGTATTAGGCCAGTCATGCTAGTCCATTCACTTTGACTGTTAAGGTCGACACAGATCACGACGTGCATGGTGCGCGCCATCGGGAGGGCCCCCCCCCTCCCCCCTGGATGCGTGCTAGCCAGTCGGTCACTCAGCCTTGCTGCATAGCGTAACCCACACCCAAGCCTCTCGACTGCAACCCACACGCATACTCGCCCCCCCTTTCGCGCCGTACCGCGTGCCTGGTGGCTGCACTGGTGTTGCAACCCTATCGTTGCTCGTCATGTCGGTTAGCACACTACTGGCAGGTGTCCCTGCAATGCCACACTCCTTCTCCGCATCCTCTGATATCTGAGACATGGCAATCCTGGCACTGTGAGGAGCTGACTGCTGGCTTGCTGGGGGGGCTTGGGGAACATGATCACCCCATGTTACTTCGGAGATTCTGCTGCCATCCTGGCCAAAGAAAGCATCGAGTAAGATGCCCGTGCCGCCCGTCTTGGGCTGTGCGCGCATGGCGACTGCCGTGGGCGTTGAACTGGCCACACTAAGTATGCTATGCCTTGCAGGACTTTCTTTCATAGCGCGTGGTGGAGTGCAGGTAGACTAATGTCACGTGCTGTTCCTTGTATGCACCTAGTCGACACAGATCCCTTGTGAAGACAGCCCGCCAGCAGATGCATTTCAGCGGTGCCTTGGTATGCAGCAAACGCGCAGGCGCGCGGTAGGTACGGACAAAGAGATGACGCGGACACTGCGTGTCACCACATCATTGCGCAAGGTCTGTTGGGCTGATGAGCATGGTTCAGTCTGCCGTTTCATACAAGCCATGGGTCTTGGGAAAACCAAGTAGTCGGTCCGTCAGTCCAAGACGACGCACTCACACTGCCATTGCATAAAGTTCAAAGACATCCATCCATCCATCCACGACGCTATTATTAGACGCGAATAGGTGTATACCGCTTAGCTGACTCGGTTGAGTCTTTGTCTCACCACTGCCCTTCATCTATGCTGTAATAAGAAATCTCCTCAAACTCCACGTCATTGGCTCTCGACATCTGTGGAATTTGTTTTTACCTTTAATAAAGTTACCTCCGTGTACGCCTGCTTACTATAGGGGCTGAGTCTTATTATACGACCGGAGCACCGCGGAGCCCTTACACTCAAGTACTATTGCATCATCGCAACTGCAATCATTCAGCTGGATCCTTGAGGCGCAACATGCTCGGTACTTGTCGCATTGAGTCCTGCCTGCTGCTTAAGCGAAGCCCACGGGGCCGCGGGAACGCTCAGTAGTTTGCACACGTCCTTGCGACGGCTCCGAAAGTCTTGGTACAAACTCATCCATATCCGTCTTTCAGCGCAGCTTCCTTCGCCGTCCCCCCCGCAGTCGGGTTGCATCTCCGAGACACTGCCGCCAGGCCATGTGAACCATGGCGGTGGCAATGGATAATCGCTAAACTGAATGACTTTGGCTTCTTTGTAAACTTTCTCGGCGTCCCATTCTTCGTCGGCGTCGCCCAAGTAGTCCGCGTGCTCATGCTTTCGGAACTCTGCCGTGCGAAGAGCATACGGGCGGTGTGGCAAAACCAATGCACTCTCCTCATATCGTTCGTTCAGAATCTCCATGTCATATCGATGCATCCTGACCAGCATGCTGTCACCACCGCCCTCCATAAGTATTTTGAATTTCTCCAACTGTCTCGCATTGGGTTGAATCACCATAAGCTTCGTCGACAATGGCCACGGCTTGCTGTCGGTCCAGTATGCACGCGGCATGGCTATTGGCGTACGAGGAAGGAGAAAGAGCTCGTCGAGAGAGCCGAGAAGCGTAATGTCCGAATCCAGAGAGATGACACGGTCGTAGTACTCGAGAGAAAACGCCATCAGCTTGGTAACTGTTTCATCCCATAGCCACTCGGCTGTAGTAGCGTTAGCCATGTACCTGTAGCGTCGGGCTTTGGCAGGCCTGACATACTCTCTGTTCGACCGGCGACCTGAAGCGGTTTGACAGGATACAGCCTGGCTTTGTAGACATCGCGTGCCAAATTGAGCAGCTGACTGTCTCGGTCTCTGGAGCTCTCTACAGTCGTGTCCCAATGCTCGGGGTAAAAGAGAACACGGTCCGCCTTGCTACCAAATCGACCAAGTGCTTCCAACACCATCACGGCGTGACAGAGAGATGCGCTATCCGTCGCATAGACGCTGTATGCATAGTTTGACCAGTTGATCTTGACGACACCAACTGGCTCGGGTACGGGCTTGTAGGTCGGATACAGCAACCAACACGCGAATACAAAGCCGATGATGTAGTACACGTACTGACGGCGCATACGGAATGACGGCCATGCCAGTTTCTTTTCATGTCGCGGAAGCTCGTCTGATCGCCGTCGACGCATGGCTGGATGGGTGTTTGCAAGGCAATGACATTTCCGCGCCGCTCCTTGTGAGGTTCACGTTGACAAGCTACCGGTGACGCGCAATCCCGGACTTTACAGGGCGAGTGCCGAGCATGTGCATGCACATGCACCATCCCGAGCTCGGATCCTTCGTGTCAGCAAAACTCAGACTACTCCTTTACTGTCTACATACTAAGTACAAGCACATCTACTTATAAGCCTCCTCACCAATCACTTTGGCCATTGCTGCACGTCAATTGCACATGCATCGACAGGGCGGCCAATGCTGAACTATTCCACAGAGTACCGGCTATTGGCGCATCACACTACTCATTGAAGCCCTGGCCCCACGAGCAAGCATCACGGTCTGTACGGAGACACAAATTCAGATGTGGCAAGATGCATTGTATCATTGCCCTATGCCAGAGTCACTTTTATAGTATGGTATCAAATATCCCAAACGCCGTAGCTGTGCAAACTCCCCCGGTTCCGTAACGGTAACCTCGAGGTTGGAAACATGATCCTCATTCAGCTATGTAGCGCCCTCTATGGCATATGTCATTCATCGTAATCCTCAAGCACATCGTGCAAGCATTTACTCCTCAGGAACTGCACCTTGTTAGCTGGTCATGTCTTTTCAAACTGCCCGGACGACAACTTACTCTCAATCTCGCCGGCCCTGATGTCGTCAGAGACATCCTTGGGGCTGCGGCCGTCAACCTTGCAGCCAGTGCTGAAGGCGGTTCCGAGAATCTCAAGGGTGGTACCCTTCAGGTCCTTGGCCATGGACTTGAAGCGCATGGTACGGGCAATGGCGATGATCTCATCAAGGGGAATACTCTTGGTGTGCTTGATGTTCTTCTCCTTCTTACGGTCTCGGGGAGGCTCCTTGAGGGCCTTGATGACGAGGGAAGAAGCGGAGGGAACGACGGAGACGGCGGCTTGACGGTTTTGGATGGTCAACTTGACGGTGACACGGAGACCCTTCCAGTCACCAGTGGCCTTGGCGATATCTTCACCGACCTCTACGGGCTTGTTAGACTTGTTTCTCGGCGGTATCTGCGGCGGAGCGTTGGAAACGTACTCTTGGGGGAGAGACCGAGAGGACCAATCTTGGGAGCGAGCGCGGATGAGGCACCGACTTCACCACCGGTCGCACGGAGGTGAATGACCTTCACCTCGGAGGGATCGAACTTGGGAGCTTTGGGTATGTAAGCGCATGATCGTGTAGAAAAGCCTGGCTGTTAAAGAAGGCGAAATCTCTTGTGGCCAGGCGCACACTCAATTCGGTGTCCTAGCCACACAGAGACTTCGCTCATCTTTGTAGAAGCCGACCAGAAGGATGATACTCACGCATGGCTAGTGCTTGAGGTAGTCAATCGGTTCTGGTAGTAAAGAATGACTGCCGTGGATATTTTGGAAAGTTCGTAAGAGGCAGAAACTCGTGGTGGGGGACGACAATATTGGTGGTCCTGCGGCAGCAAGCGAGCCTTGGCAGCACCTTCCCTAACAGGCGATAGCCGCTTTGTGCTGCTTACCTAGCTTGCACCACAACTCCAGGCGTTTGCTGTCAACATCTTTGCACAATCAACGTAGACAACTTTTGACATTTCTAACCGTATTCACGCCAAACAATCACAAATGTCTTGCAAATTGACAAAAGCATGCCAACAAAATCATGGACTGCTTCACTATTTTGGACCACTACGTGGTTTATGAATGAGTCCATCTACCTATATTGCCCATGAATCCACTTCGCTAGATCTAAATCACCAAGACAAAAGTGACACGATCGAACTTGCAACGATGGTTCTGATACCCCATCATATTGACCTATGCGGATTTTGTGCAATTGCGCATCGCGGAAAATCCCAACCGCTTCTTCCTGGAAATATACCGCCAACCAAGCGTTCGTTTGAGAAATACGAAAAGGTTGACAATCGGCGTGAGAAGGTTGCGCAATACACTGGAGTTGACAAGGCGTATATTCAGACTCATAAAGGTCCATATTACGACACCGAAAGCTACCCCGAGGACCGTAAAGTAAATGTAGCAAAGCACGATGGCGCTGTGACGGAGGCTATATGGTCTCTGCCACCCTCCGAAATACACGATGGACGATTGTTCCAAAAGGTGGGATAAATCCTCATCGAGTTTATTGAACAGAATGAAAATATTATACTATCTTAAAAATGACATGATATTAATCGTCCACAACCTGTAATTCTTGTCCATCTAACATTCTAAGCCCATGTCTATTGCAAGCCATACTGCTCAGGCCACTGCAAGTCTGAAACCGAGAATTGCGGAAAGGTATATGGTGGGATGAGCATGTTTCCCACGTCCATTTGCGCACTGCCAAACATTTTCTCAACATCGTTCTGGCTTTTGTGTCAGTACTGAATCATCACGGTTGACTAAATCGACTTACCCAGTCAATTTCGTTGGTGGCGTCCATGGGGTTGCTACTTGACGACTGAGGAGTCGTGCCGTATATTGCAGAGTTCGGACTACTGTTGTGGCCTCCACTGTAGTGGTCCGTACTTGGAGGATACGCGCCAACAGGGTTAGGGACGTAGTCGTTGTAAACTGGCGGCTGCGCAACCGGGACTGACGCTGGAAGATCGATAGTACCCCAATCCACGCTTGGGATGGCACCGGGAAAATTGTTTACTCTAGGACCTAGTGAAGAACCATGTTGTAGGGTAGGTGGACGCGCTGGTTGCACAGGCAGTTGTGCGGGTAATCCCCCTGCCATGCTCTGTGGTGGAGGGCCAACACTGGCCACGGATGGTGGCGAAATTTCCTGACGCTGTACCTGATCTTCTTGGGGTTGTTGTCTAGATTGTGGTGGCGCATTTGGCACACTTGGTGCATTGTTCGGGGCGCGAACTCGTTTCATATCAGAGTATTTCTTGGTTTTGCCAACTAGTTCTGACAACACTGATTTCGTCTTTTCCTCGTTGGAAAGTCCTGTAGGGAGATCGAGCGAGTAATCTAGACATCTCCAGATTCGTTGCTCTATGGCAGGGTCGGGCTTAGACATGTTCACCTCACTGATAAGGAGAAGCGCGCAGTGATGCTGGTGGAGAGCACCAACGATCCATGACCATCGAGACAAGATGGGATGCTGCTCAATCGCCATACCATGTTCCAGGATCAGCGTCGCAGCGCTCATGACAAGCTGTCGCAAGCGCTCAGGCATTCTACTGCGGACACTAGAAATGTACTTTTGTAATATGGAGACGTACAGTCGATTCGAGACGATACCATGAAGCTCTGAAGCCAGGACGTGCAGTGCGTTCGACTTGCTAAGCATCGGCACGTACTTCTTCTCCATAGCTGCCAGGAATGACTGAACACGTGATAGGAGGGATGTAATAGTTACGTCGTTCTTGCCGCCCGTGCGCTTCTGGTCTAACTTTGGGCGTTCATTCCACAGGTAACGATGCATTTCGTATGCTTCAAAGCGCATACGACTTATGGTCATGTCAGTGAAACGAATCGAGTCTTTGGTGACATCTATGCCGGGCTCACCACGCTCAGCGCGATCGAGGTCATCATCGTCGATATTAAGAGGGAAGCGTGTGTCAAAATCATCCAGACGGATCTGCGGTCGGGGACCCACAGCTTCACAAGTGCGGAGATCTAGGAAGCAGATCTGATACCATACAAGGCGCCGGACTTGGATCTCGATTGGTGAGCTACTGTATGAGGTAGGGTCCCGATGGAGCCCCATGCATTCGGCAAGGCGGATCAAGGATCCCGTCAGCGCAGAATGAGCGCGGGACACTTCATTACGGCACAAGGGAATCTGAAATCGCTAAATTAGCTTCGTGATACAATTGCACAAAACACCGCGAATATGTAGTAAATTCAATGCAGCATCTGTTTGGAATTTCGCAGTACAGGGTATGACATACCAGATACATGACAAAAGCTTGAATTGTTTCCAGCTTGGTGGTGCGCAAGAAGTTGGCTTTAGCGAGAGCTGCCTCTGCTCCTTCACGAAAGCTATTCACCAGTGTTGGTTTATCAACTTGGTATTCAGCCTGCACTTTCTCTTCACTCATAGAGACGACTGAACTCAGCATAGCTGCAAAGAGAACCGCCTGGAAGGAAGAGCGAGGCTCCATACCCATGTTGACTCTGATCCAGAAGTTTTGATATTGCCTCTCGAACGAGGGACGATGGACAACTCGAGCAACAACATGCACAGAAACCCAGTAATGTGCGATAAGTTTATCGACAATAAATCGTGCAGGCAGATAGGACACGAGCGATGCGTTGTCGAGTCCGGAAGCCAGCATGAAGTTGGAAGATGGGGCGACATAGTCCTTACTTGGCGCTAACCAAGTGGGATCTTCCTCGATAGTCGGCTGGGAAGGAGTTTCGCGTAGGGGCATTTCTTTTATGTGCTGGGCCAGCTGGAAAACAAATATGTCAATTGATGATAAGCGGTCCGGGAGATGCGGAAACTTACTTCATCCGAGAACTTTGGACGCACGAGACCTCCAATACGCTCTGTTATTCGAATCTTACCCATGCGGAAGCCAAGATCGACTATGTCGTCGTTGGTATCGTCTTCGTCTTCGTAATAGGTAGCGTCTTCGGTAACAAAACCGGTTGGACGAAGGTCCTTGGTGTCCTCATCTTCTTCCTGGTCACTTTGGTGGATTTGACCAGGGAGTGCGCTCAGTCTGGAGAAATCATAAGAGCCTCTGTTGTTTGAGTCTGTCTTACGAACGACGCCTTCTTCGAGACTTCTCTCCAGCATGCCCATCTGCTCCTTGACCTCTGCGAGCTTTGCTTGTGCATCTGGGTCTAGGCCTTGGGCGATGAAGACGCATGCCCGAGAGTTCTTGGTACAGTGTGTGCATGGTTGGGCTTTGTCACACTTTAGTTTTCTCCTCCGGCATTCAAGACACGAAGTGATCAACCGATTGCGGCGGCGAACGCGCGGTTGAGCTTGAGCAGTCTTGCGTTCAAAGCCAGGCAGTTGACTAGGCCATTGCGTGCCGTCCAAGCTTGGCAGGGACGCGCTGGACATGACGGGTTGAGATGGTTGTGGGACCGTGGTACAGGTAGGTAGGGTAGGGTAGAAAGCCTTACGGACGTAAGATGGAAACCAGAAGCGCTGGGGAGCAAATCAGCGACGGGGAAAAGAACCGACTAAGCGGGAAGCGAACGTTGTGTACATTAGCTGCTAGTCGTCTTTACGTTTTCTGACGGCTGCAGGAGGGCTACTGTCGAGATGGTGGATAAAGGGGTGCAGATGGTAGGTACATCTGTGGGTTCGCGGCTCCCGACGGCAGCAGAACTGATGCAAAGGAGGGAGTTTGTCTGGGACGCACCGACAAGGACGAGGACCCCCTCATGACCTTGTCCTAACTAGGGCCTCCCAGAACTCCCTCCGACCAGGCGAGACGCGGAAATCCTCTCGGCTGGTGCACCAGGCCGTCAGCCGCCCCGCGCCGGCTTCCGAGAGCCATCAGCCATCAGCCATCAGCGACTGCTACTGCGGGATACACAGTACTAAGTACTTCATCAATGTCCATCAGCCTCATCTCTTCCAGTCAAGTACTTGTTTTGCCAAGTCGTCTCTTGCGGTGCTGACATGTCTTGTGCGAGCATGAACAAAGTTCCTCGACCAGCTGTAAGTATCAAGCAGACACCCGGCAGCGCCTTGTTCATCGAGGGTAGGCATCATGGTGGTCCGTTTCGTATATATGGCGAATGAGAACCTTATCAGGAGAACGCATGGCTCTGGTGCTAGCCATCTATCCGGACCGACTGCTGCAGGGGCAGCCGTTGGATTTTGTAAGTAAGTGTAAGTACTTAAACATGTGTATGTAGTATTTTTTGGTCAGTGTGCTGGAGGAGTTGGTTGGGTTGTGGTTGTGGCGTTCGTGAGCCTGCTGAGGCTAATGCCGATGGACTGGACCTGGGCCTTGATGATGTGTACGCAGAGTACACACACACATACACGGTCAGCCAGAGTGTCACGACATGAAGAGGCTGTCTTTGCCCTGTCATGGTACAGCGAGGGGTTCTTGACCATGCCGGTCATGGCAACAGTGGACGGCAGCAACAGCAAGTAACACCAGACGCGAACGCCAAAACGCCCAGTCACGTTTCTAGAGCCCACGCGACTCGCGACAGGGCGGCCTTTGATCCCCACTGGATGGTTGCCGCCGCGATCTCTCCAACGCACGTCCTCACCGCTTCCATAACAAACACCTTTTCTCGTTGTCTCTTTTGTGGACTGCCCCCCACTACCACCTTCACCAACGCACACACGCCTGACACCTGCCAATTCAATTGCCTCTGCACTCTCACCCTTCCCTCCTCTTCTCACCCCGCCCCATACCCAGTCCACCGCGTTCAGCCTCAACATGTCTGTCGTCTCGCTTCTCGGCGTCGAGGTCAAGAACAACCCCGCGCGCTTCGACGAGCCCTACGAGTTTGAAATCACATTCGAATGCCTCGAGCAACTACAAAAAGGTGAGTGGCCTCGTCCAACGTGTCCATTGCCCCTGTTAACACGCATCCACAGACCTCGAATGGAAGCTGACCTATGTTGGCTCCGCGACCTCGTGAGTCCATCAACCGCCCCCGCCCATTGTCCTGACCGCGTCTAACGGGTGCCAGAAACGAGTATGACCAGGAACTCGACTCGGTCCTTGTTGGGCCTCTGCCAGTCGGCGTCAACAAGTTCCAATTCCGTGCTGATCCCCCGGATCTATCGCGCATTCCCAACAGCGAAATCATTGGTGTCACCGTTATTCTGCTCAGCTGCAGTTATGATGAGCGCGAGTTCGTCCGTGTCGGATACTACGTAAACAACGAGTACACAGATGAGGCACTCGCCCTAGACCCTCCCACCAAGCCTGTCATCGAGAAGGTGCAGAGGCAAATTCTTGCCGAGAAGCCACGAGTCACCCGCTTCGCTATCAAATGGTATGTTCAGGCACCCGCACAAGCACTCTTCAATGCCGCTAACCCCACCAGGGACTCTGAAGAGTCTGCGCCACCCGAGTTCCCCCCTGAGCAGCCAGAGGCCGACCTCACTGCCGACGGAGACCAGTACGGTATCGAGGAAGAGGAAGAGGAAGACGAGGGTATCGAGGGTGCCGCTGCCGAGGGCGAAGACGCTGCCATGGCAGGTGCTGAGGACACTGCTGGCCCCGTCAACGACGACGACGCCGAGTCTGAGGCTGGTAGCGAGGAGATTGACATTGAGGACTCGGAAGATGACGAGGAGGAGGAGGGCGAGGGCGAGGAGGGTGGAGACGACGACATGGAAATGGATGAGGCCGAGCCAAGCGCTGCCAGCGGTGACAAGGCAGCTGGCCAACAGTCTGGCGGTGCTGCACAACAACAGCATGGCGCAGATGTCATGGTGCACTAAGCGGCAACCGCGCCTCGTTCAGGTCACCTTCTGACTTTGCATACCCGTCATTGCGAATGCCTTGGAACAGCGGCAGGCGGTGTTGGCTGGGTCGTCTTTAAGATATGTATACATTTGACATGCCTGTAGCTGCTATCTACAGGATATTGTCTTCCCCTTGTCACGAAATAACAACGTACGATGCCAAGCATGATGATGATCATGGTGGACCTATATTTGTGATGACTCTCTACGCTGAGTCTCGATTTAATCATAGTAGCAAAGACACGAATATATACAGCCACACAAGCCAATACTGCGCCCGAATACATATGGACATGGGTACGTAATGTCTCATCTCCGCAGAAGAAAAAACGCTCAACATGCCGCTAGATCCGGAGTTTGACAAGCTCAAACGCCCAAGAGGTCGTGCCAGACAGGCCAAAAGGGGTGACGCGACGCCGAATACTAGTAGTGCACAGCCTCGGGCATTGTATGGCGCAGCGGCGCAGCCCAATCCGCGTATCATGTTCTAAGCGCCAGATGCACCGAGATAGTTATAGATGATGTGAGCCTGGGGTTTGTACACAACTGACGTTATGACCCATGCACATCCGTTCAAGGGTCTTCTGCTTGTGTTCTTGTGACCTTGGGAAGTGCGCGGGTGTGTGCAGAGTCAGGCAACGCACTTGAACTTGACGTCAAGCGACGGCATCTTTTACTGCCCAGAATCTAGAAGCCCCGATCACTTTCAACGCCTGTTTCACTTCTTGATCGCTGCGTGTTTCGCTCCCTCTCTCTCTCGTCCCTCGCTCTCTCTCCAACTCCGCCCCTCGACCCATACTACCCACCTGTGCCCCTGCGTCCAATCCTCGCCAGCGCCGCCACCATCCGCCATCAATACTGTTCCCTGAGCTTTACGCGACATACGCCTACACAAGATCGCCCGCATCCTCGTATACGAGCCCTGGGGGACCGCACGGGTTGCGGGAAAGGTAACAGCTATTGCCGACAGCGATTCAGGGCCGTACCCCACCAAAGTCCAGGTACGCTCATTTCCTGGTCCACGCGTCCGTCACTCGGCATGCAACAAGGCCTCCGGGACCCCATGATGCGAGAGTGGCTTATTATATGGCGGGGACCTGCATGGCTATACAGGTCTCTTTTGCACAGGAGCTGATGCTAACATCCCAAGCAGCCACAGCGTCTTGGGTTTGACATTCCCTAGCCACTATGAGCTACTACCACAACCAGCCCCAGCTAGGGGCGACTTTTGTGCCAGGAGGCATCGATGACTATTATATGCCGGCTCCTTCGCCAGAAGTCATCTCCCCTGCGCCCCAGCGGTTCGTCCTAGCCTACCACCACATGCATGCCCTAAGATTGCGGCTGACGTAGATTTGGCGGCAGGATCATGCCCGAAGTGCCCGAGAACATGCAAGAAAACATCGCACATCTAGAGTTGGAAGCAAACGGCCCTCGAGGCATCAACGGCGCAATGTCACCAACGCACCAGGGCTACAATCAGTCGCACCAGCAGCAGTTCTCCCCGCGACAGGCCAATTACCCTAACGAGCTGCCCGCACACGACGATCAATGGCCATCCCGACAAGGAAGCATCTCCGCTGCCTTTCGACAACCACCCAACGTCCAGCCTCAGCCTGTCCAGCCTCAGCACCAGCCCTCACACGATTACAACCAGTTCGCCCAGCACCACGAATCGCCCAATTTCTCCCCTTTTCCCAAGCTCCCAAACAGACCGCCCAATGTGCCCCCGTCCGACGATGAGAAGGAGGCAGTCTTGGAAAATGCGCGCCTGCCTGTCCTCAATTCGAACGATCCCGAGATGCAGTTGGCTTGGGCACAAGACGCGCTACAATACGTGGATGCTGCGCAGTTGCACGAGCAGCGCATCTCCGAGACCCAGGGCGCCAGGCCGGCAACGCCACAAGTCGAGCACCAGCTGCGTGTGGATGCAATGAACGTGGTAACGTTTCTGGCAGATCAGCACCACCCAAAGGCAATGTTCATGCGCGGAATGTGGCTTGAGTTTGGCAAATTTGGCATGCGAGCAGACAAAAAGGAGGCGTTTCGATGCTACTCTCGTGCGGCCGCAAAAGGATATGCCAGGGCAGAGTATCGAATGGGTATGCAATTTGAGCAGGCAAACGACCCTATCAAGGCTCTGCAAAACTACAAAGCTGGTGCAGAGCAGGGTGACTCGGCCTCCAACTACCGTCTTGGTATGATGACGCTCCTTGGACAGCACGGGCAGCCCCAAGACTTTGCGCGGGGTATTCAACTTATCAGACAGGCCGCTGCTACTGCAGATGAGAACGCTCCCCAAGGTGCCTACGTCTTGGGCATGCTACAAGCGCGCGAACTTCCACAGA